GTTGCCCAATTAGTAATCCAGACTAGATTTGCAAATCTTTATCTCACCCACTTTTGGTGGCGAGTTAAGGCGAAAAATGAAATATGCATGGGAAGGGAATATTATCCAGTTTGTTTGCATTGTTTCTAAACCTTAAAAGGAAAGAAATACGCTTGGATTTTCACTAAAATGGAAGTGCAACTAAACCAATTATGGCAAAATTTATAAGTTACCAATAATTCATAGTTTAATATCAATTGGTCAAATTCATTGGCACAGGTCAAGGAGAGATCATCTGCATTATTTTCATTCCTTCCAAAGATGCTAGCACAGATGCACTGCCTATACTTTTGGCATGTTTAAATAGATGTTCAAAACTCTCGTAGAGGGAAACTCTAACGTTGAGAAACAAAAATGGCTAAAGATATTCCCGTTGTTATGATCCCATGGTCCGCCTTTGGGCACATGGGGCCATTTTTTCAACTCTCGGTTGCCTTGGCCAAAGCTGGAGTTAAAATCTCCTTCATTCAAACCCCTTAAAACATCAAAAGACTGCCGAAAATTCCCCCAAATTTAGCCACCCTCATCAATTTGGTGGAGCTTCCATTGCCTGCATTGGACAACGATGTCCTACCAGAAGGCGTTGAGGCCACTGTTGATCTCCCATTTGAGAATTATCAGTACTTGAAAACCGCATATGATCTCCTTGAAGAACCTTTCAAGAAATTTGTGGCTGATCAATCACCAGACTGGATATTTGTTGATGTTATTCGTTATTGGGCGGCAGAGGTCGCCGTAGAATATCAAGTTCCGCTTGTGTACTTCACAGTTTTCACTGCTTCCACAGACGTTTTCCTTGGCTCACCAGATTATCTGTTTGGTGATGGCCAAAAGAAGCTACGTTCATCTCCAGAAAGTTTGATGTCAGCCCCAGAATGGGTCACCTTCCCTTCTTCTGTTTTCTTCAAGAAACATGAGGCTGCGGGCAGTTTTGGTGCCATTTATGGATCAAATGGTACCGAAAAACCTGATGCGTATCGCATTAGCAAAGCCTTACAGTCATGCCAAGCTGTGGCAATACGTAGTTGCAAAGAGTTTGAAGGTGATTACTTAAGTTTACTCGAAAAAATGCTCGGAAAAAAAGTGATTCCGACAGGTTTGCTTCCACCTGAGAAACCACGAGAAAGAGGCATCACTGATGAGACGGGTTAAGATTTTTAAGTGGCTTGATGGGCAAAAGCCCAAGTCAGTTGTATTTGTGGGGTTTGGCAGTGAGTGTAAACTGAGCAGAGATCAAACCTATGAGATAGCTTATGGTCTAGAGTTATCTGAAGTACATTTTTTGTGGACACTGAGGAAGCCATCTTGGGCTAAAGATGATATTAATGCTCTGCCACCAGGTTTTGCGCAAAGGACCCAAGGCAGAGGCGCACTTCTGTTAGATTGATCTTAAGTTGTATGTTTTGCCTCATGGTTTCCTGATTCTTTTTTATTTTTGAGATTTGCCCTTCTTCAGTGTTTTCTATTTCGGTCGAACTACCAATATGCTTTCCAATCCTCCCTTTCATTATTACAACATAATATTGTTGTGTCATAGACTAGTCTCTCCTAACCTTTTCAACCCCATTGGGTGTTGAGAATTTTACTTTTAGATGAAGAGCTAAGCTTATAAACTATATAACAGATTGGCTAGGTCGGCCTAATATCATATTGTAGGTTGATAGGTAATCCATAACCATAAATTTTATGATCAAAGTGATAGTTTTTGGTTCTATCCTAAAAAAAATCAACAACTTGATAGTTTATTTCATCGGTACCTGCTCATTTTCAAATCCCATTAGTGTTATGGTGATCGGTTACAACTGATCTTCACCAATTCTTTTTTTTTTTTATAGTGCCGTAGTACATAATGCCAGTCGAGCTCCCATTATCAAACAAAATTCTCTTAGTTACGTAATTGTACACTACAGCTATGATTACTATAGCATCATTATATGGGTGCTGGATTGCTTTCAAGTCTTTCGGGTTGAATGAAGTTGATAAGTCTTTTCAGTCTTTTTCTTTTTTTTATCAAAATGCCCACAGCCATGACCATGCCTGGGTTAAACTTTCTCTTGGTTCAGATTAAAAGTTACCTTCAGTGATCATATTAATTACCTCAGTGATCGGCCTATTGTTATCAATTCAGATTTCTTATTGTCTTAACTTATCTTTTAGGACCTACCTTCTTTCATTTTCTAATCTTCTTTTTTTCACCCCGGGTAGGCTCTCTTCAATTTTGTCTATAGTTCATTATGGGTTGGCCTTGTTTTCATTGTTTTACAAACCTCTTCAACTAACCTCTTCGTATCAAGGCTTTAATCTCATTTTTCAAGTCAATGTAATCTTCAATATTATGGCTTATGTCTCTATAAAAGACATATCTTTTTGTCAGATCCTTCCTTGTTTTTTATCTCAGTGGCTTTGGTCATTTGAGGTTCAAGATATCTTTCAATTTACATCAAAATCCTCATTCAGAAGGTATTCAATATAGTGTAGTTCTTTTCTCCGCTAGGATTTCTAGCCCAATGTCGTCTCCCTCTTGAGGGGGGATCATAGAAATCTTTACTTTTCTTATGATCGAAGAGGGGGGATAAGCCTCTTTTATCTTAAACCTCGATAAGGGGGATAAGCCTCTCTCACTTCAGTTGTTTTTCATCGTAGCTTTAGCATTTATATATTTTTCAGTAGTCAATAAGACATCAGCTAGAGTTTTAGGTGGTTCTAGCAACACGGTTAACTTCAGACGGTACTCTTTATTATTGAGTCTACTTTTCAAGGTGACTACAATGATCGTTTGCTTCAAGCCTTTAACCTGCAAAGCTTCTACGTTAAAACGCGTGACATAGCTTTTCAATGATTCATTGCAATCTTAGTGGATCGACATCAGACTCAAAGTTATCTTTTTTATTCTTTGACTATTTATAAATCAAGATAGGAAGGAGTGGCTGAGCTTTTTGAATATTGTGATTGACATCGGTTTCAAGCTGCTATACCATGATCGAGTTACGTCCCTTAAAGTGGTGACAAGGCCCTTACACATTAGAGTTTCGTTTACACCTTACATTATCATGTTAGTCTTATAAAATTTTAAATGATCGAAGGGGTCAGAAGTACCATTTTATGTTTTTAAGATTTGCATTTTAAACTCTTTGAAAGGCATGGCTCTGTCAATTTCTTTAGTGAAGGGCGAGAAACTTAAGCTTATCCTCGAATGCCACTGCTTTTGTTTTCAGCTCTTTCTTCATGGGTCACATCCGAGCTTTCAAGTCCTTATTTGGTTGGGTTTCGGTGTTTGTCTATTTAGATTTTTGGATTATGGCGTGTGTCACGTTTTGGCCGGGGTAATGATAAACAGGTGTGTTATGCTCATCTTTTCTAAAGGCCGAAGAGGCTTCCATCTATTTGTAACTCTTTTATCTTATTGTGGCTCATCAACCAGGGGTGATTAGGTCAGGCACTTTCAAAGCTTGCAATGGGATTATGGTGTGCAACATTTGTTTAAGGGTCTAGATCTTCTTTGTGAATGCTTGGAATTATTCCATGGTCAAGCCTATCTGTGGAGGGGGAGGTTATTTTGAGTGTTAATTATTATGCGTTTCTCCAGTCGGGATGGCCGTCTCTCCTTCCTCTAAGGTTCTCTTCCTTGGTGGCATCGTTTCGTGCTCGACTAATGAGTGAAAAAGAAGGCCCTTACCTAACGCGCCAAATGTTTGTGCTGAGCTATGATCTTAGGGTACTTCTAAAAAACAAAAGAGAAGAACGGTTAAAGGCAAATGCAAGGAGTGTTTCTTGCGTTTGCACTTCGACATACAAATCAGAATAGGTGAGGTCAGAAAGAGAGTAATAAAAAAAATTGAGAGTAGAATGAACTTACCTTAATGGTGCTTATGTCACGGGTCGAGACTCAAGCTCCGAACGTATGCGGCTCCGAGATCCGAGCATTCACCCTTTCGACGTCTCGGATAAGCCTGACTGCCACGGTTCACACCCTTATGAGGTATTGTCCGGTCTGACCCCCCTGGCCTCACGGTTTTGTCTTACAAAAGATGCCTCACAAGGCAGAGGTGGTGTGAACTCTTTTATACCCCAGTGACCCTCTTATTATGTTTGATGTGAGATTCAGGACTTTCCCTTAGGTCCGTGACATTTTTCCGCACCCAACCTCGTGACGCCCTCGTCACGGAGGCTGGCCACCCTGCCTACCTTCCTCGAGGTGCTTGGCGTGGATCGAACGGTTTAGGGCTGGCTCTGATATCACTTGTCACGGGTCGAGACTCAAGCTCCGAACCCGTACGGCTCCGGGACCTGGGTATTCACCCTTCCGACGTCCCAGATTAGCCTGACTGCCACGGTTCACACCCTTGTGAGGTATTGTCCACTCTGGCCCCCATGACCTCATGGTTTTGTTCTACAAAAGGCGCCTCACAAGACAGAAGTGGTGTGAACCCTTTTATACCCCAGTGACCCTCCTATTATGTTCGATGTGGGATTCAGGACTCCTCTTAGGTCCGTGACACTTAGACTTTCATATTTATAAATAAGTGACGGGAAACTATTAAGAAATAATAAGGACAATATCGAGTTGATGTGACATTGAATATGTTAGATCAACCTGATATGTCATATGAACACAAATATTAGAATTATGCCTAATTGTCTGCCGAAGGCTTTTAACATGGAAAAAAATTACTTTACATTTATTACCACTAAATGCCCCCAACAAAATTCTTGTTGTATTTGACGACCAATGAAGCCAGAAATGAATCCATTGGTCAGCTGAGCCAATATATTTACCACGTCATAACCATTTCTTCACAAATCCATGTAATGACAACTCTCCCGTCCCCCAACAACACAAAACATGATATCATTCTCAACTGAAAATGTTAGACTGATTTGTGTTGCATGATTTATGTCTCAAGATATATTCAAGCTGTAAAACACTTCTAAATATGTATATCTCAGTCTCTGTGGAAAAGATTTCATACTCCATTTGCTGCATCACCGACTGGCTGTACCCTGGAATGCATTGCCCAATGTAGCACCATGCTTCTTAATAATCTGGACTGACTGCAGTAGAATATCTTGTTGTGCAGGGTATAATTCATCTTTGCTCTGTAATTGCATATCAAACACCAATGTGGATATCAGTGACATGACAAAGACAAACAGGAGTCAGATTTTAAAATGATTAATTTTGGAAAAGAAGATGCTGTCGAGCATCCGGCACTCGAACAGAGTCACAGAAGAGAAAAACAATATCAGTAACTCATGGTTGAGGGCAAGGTCTTTTAAATTCATTATTGCAGCATATGCAAACCACATTTTCACATAAGTTTTGTCCAGTGGGATTCAGTTTCAATGTTTTAATATGAAACTCACAACGATCAGAGACACTTGAGATCAACTGAGCATCTGATAAAATAACAATGGTAGACCTAGCCCATAAAAGATACATCCGAAAAAAGAACCGAGGAAGATAGATTACCATATTTTTGAGATTGCATCCAACAGTTAGTTCTGCATAAGAACATTCTATATAAGAAAGGAACATAAGGGGCTTCCTTTCCCAAGAAAACTTTTGAGTTTGATCGCAGCATGCTCTTGATGTCATTTGATATCTCAGGAATCTTGTCCAGATCTTCAATTTGCAAGGGAATTTTGGTCACCACTGTACGCCATTGGGCTCGTGACTTGTTCACAATAACGTAAAATTTTACATGGGTATGACTTGTAAACAATCAAGACAATGGTTTTGGGCATTACTAGTGTGTGTAACTAAGCAAATAAGCATACGCTCAGTAGACTCAATGAGTTGCCAAGAGATAATCCTTCACTTTCTAACAGAAGAAAAGAACAAAGAAAAAGCAACCTGATTGGAGAAGAGTGAGTTTGGTGTTGGGTTAAAAGATTCCAATCCAATCACATCAGCGGAAGCGAAATTAAACAATAAATCAAACACACAAGAGACAATAATTTAACGTAGTTCGGTCCAACTGACCTACATCCACGGATGAGAAAAAAAAGATCCACTAGTTGTAGAGAATTACAAACATACATCAAATCATCAACCTCACTCAATAATCAATACTCATAAGACACTCTCAATCTCCTCTAGTCCTATGAAGTATTTTCAACCCAAACAAACACAAACCCAAACCCTTGTGCACCCTTTCAACATAACCAAACACATACCCATATGCTCCCATACATATACCTATGTAGACCCTCTCAGTCTCCTCTAGTCCACTCATAAACAAACATACACACTCATAATACATAGAGCCCTAATACTCCTATGGGGTGTCTATCCCACAAAACCCTATAACTCTCTTACATCTTTTTTCTCATACCTAACCTTGTAGAGACTTCACCTATTTATAACCATACAAACTTACCCATTAAGAATCTTTCTCCTCTTAAAATTTTTCTTTTGTAAGTCAAACTTGTCTATTAAGAATCTCTTTCCCTTGAAATTCTTCTTTTGTAAGTCTTTTTGTCCATAAAGCAATATCTGACAAATCTCAAACAAATCTCTTATGAAATTTGAGTCATTATTTCCGACATTTGGAACCAGAACTGGAAATTTCTCAGCATTAAGTAATGTTGTGCTTGTAAGTCCCATTTCCACCACCTGACCTTCTATAGATCCTGCCTGCAGTAAGAAAAGTTTATTATTAATTCGTGCACACAAGAAAGAAAGTAAAAGAACAAACCTAAACTTGTAAAAATCACAAGTGGTAATCATAAATTATCTGCTACCACCAAAATAAATGGCATTCAGATTATATGGGCACAGTTCCCAGTATGATGAAATAAATAACCGGACATCTCCACAAAGGTCATCATTGCCGAGGTACCTCGTACGTAAAGAAGCATATATCAAATAAACACCAATTAACTTGAGAGAAATAACTTAAGAGTCAGTCAATAGTGGAATTAGGAAGGACAGAGTGCGTTGAACAGAAATATAAGCAATACCATTGGATCTAAGTAGCCAGTTAGGTCTAACTTGAAAGAAGATGAGTGACTGATTCATCAAAAACAGACAACAGAAAATTAGCCAGCAAGAATAATAAATTAATAAGTACATTAATTCAACCATGCACAATACTTTGAGAAGCTGGATTCCTGACAACCTAAAATAATAGAAACTTCAGCAGATACAGCATTGAGAAAATAAAGAAGAAAACAACTCCTTTTTCTCCTTATTGTGTGTGACTATGAAAAAGCTTATTGGATCCACTAGTATCGTAAAGAAAGAAAACCTTTTCCTGCTCTAAAAGAAAAATATATGCTCATTTATGCGTTACCTTTATGGTATCACCCAATGAAAAAGGTTTCCAAAACTGCATAGACAATCCACTGAGCACATTTCCAAGGATGTCCCTGACAGCAAAAGCAGTAGGCACTTCTATGAGGAGGTTGAATTGGTTACATGATTATTTTGAAGACCATAAACAAGTAATATGTACTACGCCTTCAAATATGAAGTTTCAAGAAATAGCAGTTAGGCACCATTTCATTTTGGTTTGGCAACAAAACACATAAAAACAGCATGTTCCAAACCATTGCATATTCTTCAAAATCATTCTAACAAATGGATAACAGAAAATACTAAAAGTAAAGTCCTATTTGAGCTATCACATATAAGAGCACTTATGGTTTATACTGTAAATTTTAACCAACCGAGATATAATTGGATTTCACATAAACTCATTATGGTACAAGCACATGAACAGCAGGGTCAGAAAGGTTAAAGAATATACTGTTATAGAATTCAAGCTAAATTGTATTTATCAGAACACATCACCAAGAATATAGCTGAAGTATAATTTCTACTATAAGTGCAGAATGAACAAAACATTTAAAAACACACAGAATCAGAAATGCACATGCATGCACAAAAGAATGTAAGATGGAAAATTGTAAGTCAAAAGTTTATGATAACAGATCTACTACAAAAGCAAGAATATGCTGCTGTAAATTCAAACCTAGTGAGACATGCCAACAAACCTATTACCATCAACATGAATTTGAAAATGATATCTACATCAACAACAATACTATTTGGCATTAGATTTCATTATCATAAATGAACTGGAAAAGAATAGAACATATGCATTTAGCCAAAAAAAAAAAAAAAAACCCTTTTGTCCTCTTCTTATATAAAAGTGCACTTCACATAAGTCCCATTCTTTGTAGGAAAAGTTGCTATTATCCTAGGCATGTGCGTGGCAATATCGGATGAAGTTTGGATTTTGGAGTTTTCCTATCCAATCGAAAGACTAGGAATCATTTGAATGTTCGTTGTCCTCTCCTACAACGACGACCAATCAGGGGACAGTATGTCTATATTAGCTTAATGACTATGGTTCTTCTACTGCAATGAGATTGATGGACTTAAGTATGAATTTTAAATCTTATCATTTGTATAATTTTTTTATTTTTAAATTTAATTTTTTATTAATAATTATACGATTTATTGATAAAATATTAAAATTCAAATTTTAGTGATAAATATTTAATTAATGACAATCTCAAAATTAAAAAAAAAAAAAAAAACATGATTGGTGGATTTTGAAGAAAAAAATTTGTAGAGAAATTAAATTAGAAATAAGATAATATAATGGAGAAGAGGAAAGCATTTTTTTTTTTTAAGGTTTGGCGAGAGTAAAAGTATATATTTTACTTGAATTTAAAAGTAGAATGGCATTGTTTTAAACTCTTCTGATACAAGAGAATCGAGTGACAAACATAAGAGATATTTTGTGAAGATATATGTTTCTTGGTTTTTTTAGACCCATAAACCAACCTATTGAAAACGGGCTTAGTGTGGTTTGACTTTGGTATTTGGGTTGTTATTGGCCTTAGACAAGTTAAAGTACCTACAAGCTTTATTTTAAATTGGGCTTGCTTCAACAGATTCGAGAGGACCATTTAGGGGCTTCACCGAACTCTGCCACAAAAATGAGCAGCGTTGTTATTGAAGCTTCTGACCTTTTCATAGCACCATCACAATCGTCAAAGGCTCAAAGCTAATTTTACCAACTATCCAAAGATGCTCCAAAGTGCGGTTTATTCAAACACTAATTAATTATTAATCAAATAGGATCCCGTTTTAGTTTCTATTTCAACATTTCGCATTTGTCTTCTGCCCATTAACTTAATTTTAGGACTAACAACCGGATAATTTAGTCAAATATGATACATCATCAGCATAAATACAAATTTGGCCCTCAACCTAAGCACACTAATAATTTTTTTTCATATATTTTTTATTTGGATCAATTTGATCTTCATGCTTTCATTTCTAATCAATTTGATCTAATTTAACATTAATGTTAAATAAAATTGACAATTTGGATATTGAATTTAGACGAAATTACTAGTAACGTTTCTGTTTTTTTAAATTCAGACTAAATTTAAAAAAAAAAAATTGAAGGAAAACCAAATTGACTTTAAAAAATGATATAATTTGCATAATTCAAGGGGTAATTTTGTATTTACATCTTCGTCGCTTAACAGTGAGATTAATAATTGGACATCAGTTCCTTTCCATAGATGTTGAATATTTAGGGGTTTGTGGCATCAATCTTTGTGAAAAATGGCTGGATATATTCATGTAATGATGCTTCCTTGGTCTGCTTTTGGACACCTGATACCCTTTTTTAATCTCTCTGTAGCCTTGGCCAAAGCTGGAGTAAGGGTCTCCTTCGTATCAACCCCAAGAAACATCAAAAGACTCCCTAAAGTTCCTCCTAATATAGAAAATCTAATAGATTTGCTGACGTTCCCATTGCCAATCTTGGATAAAGAACTTTTGCCAGAAGGCTGCGAGGCCACGATGGACGTTCCTTCCGAGAAAATTGAGTATTTGAAGACCGCGTATGATCTCCTCCGGAATCCTGTCAAGCAGTTCATTTCAGATCAACGACCAGATTGGATATTCATTGATTTCATCTCTTATTGGGTAGCTGAAATTGCCCAAGAGCTCAAAATCCCCCTCCTTGTTTACAGAGTTTTCTCTGCTTGTCAATTGGCTTTCATGGGGCATCCAGAATCCCTTGTTGGTGATGGCCATAAAAGAAGGAGGCCTTCCCCGGAAAGTTTAACTTCACCACCTGAGTGGGGAGATTTTCCTTCTCCTGTAGCTTATAGGAGTTTGGAAGCCATTATAAAGGATTTTATGAACAGAATGCTTTTGGTTTCAGAGATTCTGAAAGGCTTTATAAATGTATTCAGGCATGTAAAGGTTTTGCTATACGTAGCTGCTCTGAATACGAAAGAGAATACTTTAATATATGTGAGAAGATAATAGGCAAGCCCGTGATTCCTACTGCTTTACTCCTGCCACAGAAACCTGAAGAAGGAAGAAGAATATTTTAATATATGTCTGTCGTCCGATTTATTATAATATTTAAAAAAATTCAGTAAAATCTCTCAATAATTTGATAAAATTTACTTTGAAGCAGATATCTTAATAGTTTGATAAGATTTTATTACCAAAAGATTTTTAAAATTTTTTAAGAATTTCATTAAGTCTCATAATAATTTGGTATGACTTAATTTATGAAGTAATACTCCAATAGTTTTGAGGATAAAAATTATTTTTTATTTTTAAAAAAAATTAATTTATGAAAATTTTTAATAGTTTGGTGTATTCTATTTTAAATATTAAATCCATGAAAATTCTCTAATAATTTTGGTAGAATTCATGAATTTATTTTATAAGAATTTTTATTTAAAAAAAAAGATTTTTTATTTATTCTTTTAAACTTATTTGAAAAAAGGTTTTTTTTGTTTATTTCATAAATAAGTATAAAAAAATCATAATAATAAGTAATGTATTTTTTCAATTTAAAAAAGAAATAATAAAAGCAAATAAAAATAAACAAAATTAAATAAACAAAATAAGAAAAACAGAATCAAAACAAAAAATGGAGTGAAAAAGGGAAAGAGAGTACCTTCAATCGGAACAAGTTGTGAATGGTAAAACACACAGATTTAGATGTTTCAAATTTTAGACTTTTCTTCAAAAGTGTTTGAGTATGTCTCTTTTTCTAAAATAGTTATTCTTCTGTCTTCTCTATAATTGATTTTCAAAAATTAACAAATAAATCTCAAAACCTAATAAAGAATTTTCAAAAACCCAACAAATTATCTAGAAAACTAAACCCAAGAATCCCTAGAATGCAAAATCCTATAGAAATTCAAACCCCAAAACACCAAATCCTAATTCTAAAAAATCTAAACAAACCAAACCCAGAACTTAAAACCTTTTGGTTGCTAAACAAATTTATCTCTTTTTCTTTCAAGAATTTTTGCATAATCTTTTTTCTCAATGTCTCCCATTTGCTTTGATCATAGATTTATATAGGAATTCATGGTCAATCAATTCCCCTTAAATCTATGATTTTATTTTATTTTCGTTTTAATAAGAATTGATTCTGAAATCAAATCCCAAAAATCTCTCTTTATCATTTTAATGTGAATTGATTATGGAATTAAATCACGATAATCTCTCTACGTCATTTTTAATGCCAATTGATTTTGGAATTAAATCTAAAAAATATTTCAATTACGATTGAAGCCTAATTCTAAAAAAAATTTTGGACAAAATGAGATGTCTACAGCTGCCCCTATTTGTGCATTTTCTGTGGAACAAAAATTGCACAAAAATAAAATACATCTATTTTGTTCGGGTCTGAAAGTCGAGATTTAAAAAGTGATCAAAGTATGACAAAATGATCAAAATTAAATTGTAAAACAAGAAATAAAATGATCTGGGCTGAGTCGAGATCAAAATAAATGATCGGGACTAAGCCACAAGTCAAAAAATAAAATGATCTGGACTGAGCAAAAATTGAATGACTGGGACGATGCCACGAGCCTGAAAGATAATCTAGACCAAGCCAAGATTGGATCACCAAGATGAAACCACATCTGGATCAAGCCAAGATCTGATGACCGATATGAAACCACGAGTCATGAAAGATGATTTGATCCAAGCTAAGTCAGATGACTAAGATAAAATCATGAGTCAGAAAGATGATCTGGATTAAGCCAAGATCGGATGATTAAGACAAAACCACGAGTCAAAAAATGAAGTGACCAGGACCAAGTCACGGTTAAAAATAAAATACTAGAATGAAACCACAAGTCATAAAAAATTATCTGAATTGAGCCAAGATTAGGTGATTGAGAAAAAATCATGAGTAAAAAAATGAAACAATCAGAACTAAGTTGAGGTAAAAAATAAATGATCGAGACGAAACCATAAGTCATAAGAATGATCTAGACTAAGCCAAGATCGAGTAACCAGGACGAAACCAAAAGTCAAAAAATGAAGTGACCAAAATCAAGTTAAGGTAAAAAATAAATGACCGAGATGAAATCACGAATAATAAGAAATGATCTGGACTGAGCCAAGATCGGGTGACCTGGACGAAACCACAAGTCAAAAAAATAAAACACCAGGACCGAGTCGATGTCAAAAATAAATGATCGAGATGAAACCAAGATTCATAAAAAATGATCTACACTAAGTCAAGATCGAGTGATCAGGATGAAATCATGAGTCAAAAAATGAAACGACCAAAACTGAGTCAAGATCGAAAATAAATGACCGAGATGATGCCATTAGTTTAATAAAATTTCACTCTAAATCCAAAAATTCATAATTTAGACATTCAAAAATTTGTGAGGTTCCATAACAAAAGTTGAAAGATCTTAAAATCGTAAAAATTCAAGATTTGCAAAGATTTTCATATTCATAAGAATGAAAGATTTGTAAGATTTCATGATGCACAGAGGTTCTAGATTCATAAATATTTTAGGTTCACAAGAAGGAAATATTCGTAAAGATTCCAAGTTTGCAAGGATTTCAAGATTCGTAAGAATGAAAAGATTCATAATATTTCAAGTTTCACAAAAGTTCTAGATTCACAAAAATGCAAGGACTTTCAAATTCACAAGAAAAAAAGATTCGTAAGATTTCAAGTTTTGTAAAAGTTTTATATTCACAAAGATTTCAGGTTCATAAGGACTTTCGAATTCACAAAATGAAAAATTCGTAAGAGTCCAAGTTTCATAGAAGTTATAGATTCGTAAAAATTTCAGATTCACAGGAATAAAAGATTTGCAAGATTCTAAGTTTCGTAAAGGTTTTAGATTTGTAAAGATTTCAAATTCACAAGAATGAAAGATTCGTAAGATTTCAAGTTTCGTAAAGGTTCTAGATTCGTAAAGGTTTCATAATAATTTGAAAGAGTCAGAAAGATAAAGCAATCAAGACCGAATCGAGGTAAAAAATAAATGACTAGGATAAAATCGTGAGTCAAAAAAATGATCTAGATCAAGCTGAGATCGAAATGAGTGATTGAGATTGAAATGTAAGTCAGAAAATAAAGTGATCAAGATCGAGTCGAGATAAAAAAAGAATGACCGGAATAAAATCACATGTCAAAAAATGATTCAGACTAAGCCAAGATCGAATGAGTGATGATGATATTGTAACGATGCATGTCCTATATGAGATGCAAATGTAATATATGTAGTATTAATGTCATGAAATTTCAATTGTGGTGATAAAATTCTCAAGACTCTTTCAGTTCTTCTTAGCTTCTCAGTATTAATAGTCTCAGAGTAACTTTTGTCAACTGATCCATGTCATTTTTCTCATCTGATCACAACTCACAAATTGTATCAACCAATCTATCATTGAATTCATCATTAAGTCATCTTGTTTGCTCCCTTATAAATCTTTTTCTCATGCTTTTTTTCATTTATCTCATCCTAGATTTCTTTCAACAGAATGAAAAACTCTTTATAAAAAATGTCATTCATTTATTTGCCATCATTCAAATCAGTGACAGACATGATACATTTTATTGGTTCATTCAAGGAATGTTCATTTGGTGAAAGGTAAAAAAAATAGATATTTATTATTGAAAGAACAAAATGTAGGGTCAAAAATAACTCAAGGGTGAATAAAGACAAAATGCTATGATTTATTTAAATAGGACATTAACATCCAAAATAATGATTGCTCAGATAATTTTGAACTCAAACTCAAGATCATCCTTTAAAAACGCATTCCATTAATATCTTCAATCTTTAAACTAAACATTATCCTCATTCTGGGGACTTTCACATTAACTTATTTTTTTCAAGTTTTCATCTTCACTTAAATTGCCTTTTTCGGGTTTTCAGTTTAAGTTTTCCTTTTTCCTTCATTTTTTTTTTACTTTTTTTTGTAATTTTTTTTGTTTTTCTTTCACACTTTTTTCTTGTTTTTTCTTTTCATTTTTGTTTCTCTTTTATTCATTAATGACACTTGAATCAAAGCTTCAAACAATCTAATGGCAAACCTACCCCAATTCAATTCATGATTTTCCAAATCAAGTATTCACATTTGATCAAAATGAACTTTTAAGGGACGTAACGTAGGCTAGGATAAAGAGTACCAAAGAAAAAGATAAAACATGCTCAAATTGTATTTAAAAGGTAATCAAACTAAGGATTATTTTTTTTATGTGGGGCACTTTAGCATTTTTTCTTATCAATTTTTTTCTTTTTTGCTTTTTTTTTTGTAGAGCACATTGCCATTATGCCCTATCAATTTCTTTTTTTTTGTTTGTTTTTTTTTTTTTGTTTTTTTATTTTTCAAGAAAATTTGAACATAAAAGAGCTTTACCCCTGAAATTACAAACTTCTCGACTTTGCCCCTTAATGTGGGGGTGATCCTTGGTTAAGATTTCTTGAAAAAAAATTTCAACAAGCTTAAATAAGGTAGCAAGAGATTTTTTTTTAAAAAAAAAAGATAAAAAAATAGTCATTTCTCATTTCAAACATGAATACTCTCAATGGAGAACATTTATTGATCAAGAGCAGATTCATGAATGAATATTGCAAAGATCATATGTTGCATCACTTTCAAAATTTTTTTTATATTTATCTTCTTTTTATTCAGCAGTTTCAACATTCTCAAATTTATTAATCAAAACATCATGAATGATTTTTTAAAGTCAAATCTTGAATTATTATCATGACTGTCTGAACATTCATTATTCGAAATAAAAAAAATGGGTAAAAAAAAAGGTATGAGACGGTAAAAGTAAATGATGGGTATTCACACAAAAGAGAATGTCATAAAAATGTATCAAATTTGTCACTTTTATTAAAATGATGAAAAATAAAATGAAATCTAAAATTATAGGTAGTTCTAATCAACCTTCTCAAAATTATACCTCTGGATGATTGGGCAACGGGTTACTACTGACATTGAATGCCATGTTTTCACCAGTACCAAAATTT